GTAAACAGATGGGTAGAGCATGTTCTATGAGGTCAATGCTGAATCCATTTTCTACCAGATCAGTCACCCTTGATTAGAAATTCCTCTGAGGCGATCTTGTTTACGACCGTCCAAATGGCGGCTGACCTGAGAGAGTCACAACTGTCACTCTCATCAATATCCCTGACCCTCAGTGGCACCGCTTGACCCTCCTGGGGTCAATGCAGGTCGGAGGTCAAAGCAAGTAACCCTCAGGTTCCTTCACATGGCCGGACCGGGTTCCAGCACTCTAAGTGGTGGGAGGATTGATGGAGGCAGATTTGACTCCGATGGATAAACGGAGGAGGATTTATGGGGCTGACCACTGGGTAATGGACCCTGACTGTGACCATGGAGCTGTACCGGTCACCTCACAAAGTCGCATCATTGACATTGTAGTAACTGTGTGTGTGTGTGTGTGTGTGGGGAGGTGGTCATGACTGAGGTTTCCTCAATGATGTCGCTTATTTGTAGAGCTCATTTAGAAAATCCATTACAGCCACTTTGGAAATGAGTCCATCCATTCGGCATCTGTAAAATCTACAGGATCCAGCCGTTGAACATGCAGCTGTCCTTGTAGAGGTACAGGTGCTTTGGTACTTAATGTACCCGTTGTCCTTGTAGTTTGATTCAGGGTTTCGCGGTTCTTTAGAGTGTGGGAACAGGTGTCAGCTTTCTCATATATAATGGGAACATATTTTGTGGTTTTACCTGAGCAAATCTGGCTCCAAACATTTGCGTTTTTAAATCTGGATGAAATGTTTATATGCGTGCGTCCATTTTTATGTGCCTTCACTTTCCATGAATGTAGCAGACAGGTGGGTACAGGAGGGAGAGGAAAGAACCGTTCATTAAGTTTTACTGCGCTCTATACATGGCCCCTCTAAACTTGGAAGCCTTTACAAAGCCGGCGTAAAGAATATAAAGCAGCAGAAATAGTGCTTTCTGTGGGAACATGGTTTAAATGTCTGCAGGGGTGTTACAACTGTTTACATAAAATGCTTTTACAGCTTAAAAAATTGTCCCATAAAGCAAGATAATCAAGGCTGAAACAGTAAAGTGGCAACAGGAACTACCGCTTTCTCAAAGTTCAAAAGAAAAAGTTTGAAAACACTCGGTGCCTCGAATGGCTAAACTGACTTTTTACTGCTTATTATTAATTCTCTTAATGCAAAAAATGTCTTCAGCTTGAAGACAAACAAGTTTCTGGCTCGCATTGTTGCCCAAATTTGAGCACAGGACTGTTTTGGAAGTCAGTCTTTAGTCGTCCCACACAGCAAATGTACCAAATCTACTGGTTTCAGCTGTGAGTTAGAAACTGCAGCAACACTGATGCTGTATGGATCTGTGTGTGTTCAGAGCTTGACCTTGGCCTCTGACCGATCTGAGAGTTTGCCAGGAGCTCCGTTTCTTTCTCTATTTATTGCACCAGACCCCTTTTTTATTTTACATCAGTGGCTAGGCGATATAGCTGGAAACTTTATCACGATGTCATGTTTAATTTCAATCAGTATTGAGGAGTATTGATGATGTAAATAACCGATGTTGATTAAAAATCTGGGGGAGAAAGGTTAACAATTTTAGCCTTTGTGAATTGGAGCCACATTTGTTCCGGCTGAAACTTTTTCAATCTCTTCACCTCTCCTCATCACATATTCACATCCGAGGAAGCACCATGTAGTTCCTTCTCGTCCCATTGATGTGCAGCTTATTAAACTTCCCGTGTGTTCAGTCTTAGCAAGGACCTTCCAAATAATGAGGAGACGCATCTGCAGGTGGGGTGACCTAGTTTAGATGCACACAAAATTAACAGATAGTAAGAAACAATGAAGAGATGCTTTGGAGTGCTGATGCCTTTCGACGCAAGCTCACATTTTGTTCTGTGTTAAATCAAAGCGCGTATCATTATTGCAGATCATGCAGTTTTCTGTCAAGCATTTCGACGCCAAGTCTGCTTTTCTAAATCACATTAGACCTGTTTATTTCCACGAGAAACTGGGAGTGAACAGGAAACACCGAAGGAAACTTTAATTAAAAGCAACCAACATTTTGAAGCTCACACCTTTGGATTCCTGCACATCAGTGACAGTGAGTCAGCGTTATGTCTTCTGACATTCGCTGTTAGCGGAGGTGGAAAGAGCGTGTGAAACGTAGACAGATGGAGGGCGAGACCGGGACCGGCACCTCGTCGAGCGGAGCATAACCGATAGTTTCTGGTAATTAATAAAAATGATTAGACAAACCCGAACACCACATCGGATGAGCGAACATGTGGTTTTGGGTTGTTTGAGGGGAGAAGGGATATTTGTGTGTGTCTGGGCCGGTTGGAGTCATCGTTTCTCATCTGTCTACAATCACTAGCCACACTCACACACTTGTGACCCCTGCCAGTTCCTTCTCTGCTACTTGTTTTCCCCCCTCTGCTCTCTCTATTCTGACCACGTTAGACCAGGACCCTGTCGCTGACCCTCCAAAGAGAGATTGATTACAGGAAAGAGGAGAATTTTGTTTGCCTTCCCTTTTTCTGTGTCTCTGCGTTTTCTAGGTTTTCACCCTCCTCCTTCCCTGTCACTATCTCTTGGCTTTCTCTTTTTGTTTATCTCTCACTCTGCCTTTTTTTTTCTTCTTCCTCCTCCTCTCCTCTCCCTTGTCTTTATTTTCTCCTCTGAGTTAAATCTGAAAACACCCTGCTTTGGGTTTTTTGCTTCCACAAATACCAGCGCGCTCCCTTTGGGGTGGATATTAAAAACAAGAGGCAGCACACAGGTCCAAATTAGATTCTTTTGAATTGTTTTATTGTGGATTCAGACCTGCCCATGTTACCTCTCCCTCTCCCAGCTCTGTTGGCCTGTGGGGAAGGCTTGTGGTGAGTGTGCGCATGTGAATATGTGCCGTTTGGGGGGTGTGTGGAGGCAACAGCTGGTCATATGTAAGTGTACACAGTGGGTGGGTGTGGGGTTTGGGCGTATTGCTGAAACAGTGGGGCGGTTGCGTGTCTCCTCTCAGGGTGTATGAGTCATCCAAAAAATGAATGTGAAGCTTGAAAAGGGATTACAGCACTTTAATTATGAACTTTTCCCCAACATACAGATTTGTTTTTATCAGATCACATTGTCTTTCCCTTATCGTTTCCTGTGACACTTTTTCGTCTGAACTTCCATTAGCGACGCTCAATCGAGAGTAAGGGTGGAAATTCGACGCTGTGTTTTCATAATGGATTTTTATGCATATTTTGAAGAATCGCATCAGAAAAAAGTTAATGGAAATGGCAAAATGTGGAAAAAAAAGACAGTTTTGCAAAAAAGTTTTTACACTTTCAGGAGGTTATTCACTTAATGACACAGTGGAAACACCATTTTGATAATAAGTCACATGACTGATGAGATGTTTTGCTTCTTTTGTTGTCCACAGAGCATCTAACATGTCCAACACCAGCTAACATAGACGACTATTCACAGCTTTACTGATTGTAAACAGTTCCTGAAGACTTTTTAACTCATTGATGTCCAAAGTTTTTAGTTGCTTCATGATTTTCTTATTCGGTGGCAACTGCTTTTGTTTTCGGTAGTGATGCACGATATTAACATTTCTGGCCGATACCGATATCTGATATTAAAATTTCTGATATCGCCGATAACCGATATTACCGATGTCAATGTTCAATTTTTGTTCACATGTAAGTAAGCACTGTAATAACACGAAAACTATTCGAAAGAAGCCCATACCAAATTAGACCACCTAGTCTTCTTTATTGCATAAAAAAACAAAAACATGTTTTAACATATTTAACGTTCAAGTCCAGGACTGTGTAAGTAAAAACATCTGTGAAATAGCAGCAATGTCAAACGTAGAGACGAAGGCACTCATGTTAGACAATCATCGGTTTTTCACATTGGCTAAATTTGTTCATCGGACGGATACTGATATATCGGAAAAAACACTAATATCGGTCGCTGATATATCGTGCATCCCTAGTTTTCGGCTTATTGTACTGTATTTATTTCTGACTATACGGCTACTGTCTGACAACACTATGAAGCCTCGTTTATTTACTTCAGCGAAAACAAGCCTAATTTACATTTTCCTTTTTAAAAGTGTTCTGCGATATTTCAAAAGTTTGCTTTAAAATTGCTAAACAACTGCAGCTCATGATGGGATAACATCAGGACAATATTATTGCAGTACACTGATTCAGCAATACATGACAAGATAATTATCAACACTACATCTGTCCAACTGAAGAACACGAAATACTCACACAAAAGTAAAAAGCAGGGCATTGATTTATCATGCCAGTGTGTGTGTATTATCAATATTATTCAGTTTTGATAGTGTGTCAGTTAAATAATCAGCTCTCTGATTTGCTTTCCCTCACCATCGGCCGCTTTCCCCACGGGTTCGTCAACTTCCCTTACCTCATGTGTTTGAAAAGTGACACAACAAGCAGTCATAAAGTAGTGACTCTAGTTCTTAAAAGATCCTGCAAAAAATATATCAATATTTGGTGCCAGCGTATCGATAAAGCCTCACAAGAGGAGGCGATACAATACATTGCGGCATCTTTCGTCCCACCCCTAATAGAGAACAGCTTCCTTTTGTTTCGTTTTCACATCTCCTCTTCGGGTAACAACAGAAACCCTGAAATTTCACTTTTTCATTGCTATCTTGTCATTCCTTTTGCAGAGCGCCGAGCGCCTCGGGCGTCCGTCTAACCCTCTGAGCTTTCCCCGATGCTCATTTCAACAAGGTGCAGGTCAACTGCTGAGTGTGGAAGTTGCCAAAAGACAAAAGGCAGCTCTGTTTCCATTTTCTTTTACCTCCTCAGCTCTTCTCTCTCCATCTCTTCCCGCGATCCTCAGTGGGGTTGGAGTTGGAGAAATCATATGTAATGTGATTTCTTCTCAACAGTGTGGAAAATAAAAGACAGTTACAGGTATAACTGGCTGACATCCAGCATCTGACACTTATTTTTCTCATCACAGACACTCCACTGTTGGTGAGGAGCAGCAGCGACTCTGCCTTGGCCCCACCCTTTGAGGTGACACCCACGCCTCCATCTGACGACCACAGCAGCGGGTCTCCTGAACCGGTGAGTGTAGTGTCAGCGATGTGAAGATTCAAGGAGGAGGGGTAGTAGCTGTCTTTGGAATTATCATCTTTAACTAGCTAAAGATGCCAATATTGTAAGTGAGAGATTTGTTAGCTGTTACACAATCCTCTATTTGGTTTTCTCGTCTTTCCAGTTGGAAGAAGGCATTTATTTCTCTCCCTGTTTGCTTTCCAAAAAAAAGGGCTTACTGTCTCAGCAGAAATTGGGCAAAACGTTCAGTCTCCACTGACGGAACTCCTACAGTTCAAAACGAGTGGTTCAGCTGGAGCTAAAAGAAAGTGCATAAATAACAAAGATGAACGCATTTCATTTCCAATTACATCTTTGGTGTGTGCCATTCCCTGGTTGAAGAGCAACCCAGTGAATATTCCTCTTGTGGTCTAACTCCGTGCCCCAGGCTGTACTTTGAAAGGGTCGGCTTTTCAAACGCTCTCCCTCTTTTTTCGAAGCGGGCTGCCATTAAGGAGGACTTTGTTTGCTGCCTTTTCTCGTCCTTCCGTGGGCGATCGTATGTGTGCGGTGGGCAGGACGTAGGCTGTCCGAGGTCACAGTGGTACATGTGTGTGTGAGGGGAAACTCAGGTAGAGGGAGGGAAGGAGGAGACGGAGTCCTGTTGTTTACCCCCGCTGTGTTCGACTCAGCAGTGACTAAGCAGAACACAGGCATCAGCGGGCGACGAGTAAACACAATGACAGAGCCCATATTTTCTGTCCAGAAAACGTCGGGCCTCATGTGCTTCAAACAGCGTGTCTGGACCAGAGTGAATAGGCTCGTTATAGATGATATAAAACATCCTCAGCAGTTTACAAAAAAATCTACATCTCTCTGCCTCCTGACAAATGAATCCCTGCTTCAGACAGCAGCAGCCGCAGTGTTTAAACCCAGACTGAAGCATTGCCAGAAATGATGGCGAATAAAGAAAAAACAATGCATATGAAGGGTTTATGTTAATTGGTCAAGACTGAAATATCTCTGCAACTAATGCATGGATCCCCTTAAGCTTGATCACAGACATTTGTGTGTCTAAGAGGGTGTAGTCTTCTGACTTTGGATCCTTTGACTCTGTGATTCTGAGAAGTTCTCAGTGAGATGTTTGAAAAACTCTTAAATGGATTGCCATGTGTCTTCCTGCAAAACATTTACATTAGTCTCAGCTGCACTTGTGGTAATCAGTCCACATGATAGATTCACCAAACCTGTATGATAAAGTACCTGCTGAGCAAACTTAATGTAAAAACCAAAAGCTGTCGATAAAAGATGGTCTTTGCATCCAGATCTGAAAAGTGAAACTAATGCAGAAGTGCCACAAACCTTCAACATATGCAAAGAGATGTTTTGTACAGATTAAATCAATGATCTGAGAGGGACTGTAAAGATCGCCCTTAATGATGCATAATTAAAAAGATTAATGAGCATGTGAATACAATGAAAGGTGTCAGTACTTCCATGCAGAGCTCATGAATCAAATCTGACTGATCATTATGGCATGCCATCCTTTTGTTTGTCTGTTTGTTCCACCGGTTGTTGGACAAACTCTCGACACCTCTAAACCGCACAAGCTGGATATTTGTCAGAAACAGTTTGTTTTTCGACCGCTAACACGGTGGAGTTACGAGGTTTTCTCTCGAGCGAGACTCCATGAACCTGCTCATTCGCTCGTGTACTTCTTTAGCTCTTACAAGATTTGCAATATAAAAAATCGATGATCAGTCTTTAGGTAATTAATGTTTGTTCACAGCTACGGCAATCTGATCAAGGCTCGGGATCCAGAACGTGTAATCCACGTATGAGAAAGGCAATACACGGAGGAGAACAAAGAATCTGAAGGCGTGCGTGTCCCGTGCGCGTGGAAGGCTCGGAGGCCGTCACACTTCTTGGGCATATTGAGTCCTGGGCCTGATGGACTCCATGGATCAATACGCTATCACTTTATCCTCACTCACCCACTGTACCACTCCTCTGGAAACCCCCTCCCCACGCAGTCCACTCACTCAAATAAACACACACTTAGAAGTAACACACACACTTTTGTCCCTTTTAGTCTTGAAGGAGGTATTGAAAACTAGATAAAGTGTAATTCAGCCTGATACAGTGATAAATATGCATCCTGCCCCTTTAATTGATTTTGCTGCCTGTTACGGTGAAGGCCAAGGTCGGCCCACTTCTCCCTGCCTTTGATTCTCATTTTCTATGCACATACCTCTCTCAGTCGGGTTTTTTCTTTTTTATCAGACGAGCTAATGAAACTGGCAAAAGGCTGAGCAGTGCTAAACATGCAGTCGGCCCTTTAATTGATTTAGACTTCCTGCCATGTTCGAAGCTAATAAATGAGCCGTTTAATGTTACCTGTTAACTGCAGGAGCTGCAGGATTCTTTTTCTCCTCTCATATCCTTCACTCTCCTTTACTAATACTTTCTCTCCTGTTCTTTCAGTCTGCCTCCCACATTTTTTGGCTGATTTTGAATACCTAGAAATGTAATGATGCAATACGTGTTAACACAGCAGAAAGCTGGACTTTAATATGTTACACGTGTCCGGGGTTGATGTTTCCCTGAGCTCTGATGTAAAAAGCTGACACCTTAACCAGCTCCACTAAAGTCTGCTGTTTTTCTGCGTCTGGCTTTTTTGTCGTGCTCGCTGCAGGATGTTGTGCGTCCGTCCCTCGAGGATCGCACTTCATTTTCACGTGTTTGTGTTTTGCGAGTTGTGTGTAGCAGCGCGGCGGTCAGTGGATGTGATGGATATGATGAGGGTCAGGGAGCGCTGCCTTGTACACCGGAGCTGTGATCCTGCAGCGTTTGTACATATGCACACTCTCTTGTACACACTCGAGCTATTTCTCAGCTACCTGACGTGTAGCAGATGACTGCAACACACGGCGGAAATGCACAAAAGAAACACACACCTCATTACTCATCTGACAACACACACACACACACACACACGCACAAACATCTCATACCTCATGTGTCTGCACACCTTCCTGTCACTCACACACACCTCTGACTACAAACAGCACCCAAAACACAAAAACATGGATGGCAGCGTGCAACACAATAACAGAGGAGACAACTTGTTAGTCGTGCTTAGACGGGTTTCCAGACAGGTTTTACAAATTATTTGAGCGCACATCCAGGACCACAAAGCCTGCCACATTCAAATCACTCAGAGAACAAAATAGATTACAAAAATGAAACGACTGGAAATTTGATTTCCGAGGAAATTTTTATACGCACTAAAAAAGCTGCTTTTGAAGGATCTGAAACGTTTAGATTTTGTCAGCTTTTGTATTCATATGGGAGTCGCAGTTTAAGCTCTGAGCGGCAGCTGAAGTGAAAGCGCTAAAAGGAGTTGAAGTGTCGGGACAAGTTGAAAGGTTGAAAATGTCGCCTGAAGTGTAACCAATAAAAAGAGCTGTTGTCAGTTTGTAAGCAAGATGTTGGAGTGTCAGCTGATGCACGAGCACATGTGGGAGTTAAGTTTTTATCGAGCCAGAGCTAATACAGCAGCTATAAAACAATACTTCTCTTCCCCAGTAGCTTACTTTGTTGAATAAGACTACATTGTTATACAATATTCTTTTTTTTCCTACAGTGACGACTTCTCAAATATAAAAAGTTCTTCAGATACAATCAGCTGCAAGTAAACTAAATTGGAATAAATCTGATCAGGATTTAATGCCAACTTTTGGTACTTGGCAGAATCTTTGACATTGTTAGTGGTACATATCAGGGCTTAAAGTAGGATTTTTTAGGTCAGGGCTCACAAATCAAACTTTTTTTCTGAGTAAAAAAATAGTCTGAGTTAAAACTTCATTGCATTCTGTGGATGTGGATCTTTCAGAGTAACAACAGCTCTGTCTGGAAAGATGTGTTGCACAAACAGAAAAGTTTACCTGAAGCTCTGTGAAGTTTCAAGGCACAATAACACAGCGCTGTAGTCACACAGGCCTATGAATACACTGCAGTGGTAACGTTTAATTAACGCTTTACTAAACACTGACACTGTTAGTGGCCGAAGGACGTGAGTAAAGACCCAAAACGAGAATGGTTAAAGGGAAAACAGGTTTGTTTGAGGGAATCCGTGGATGAGGGACACCAGGAGGCAGGTGAGGGATCCGGGGCGGGTGCGTAGGTTTCAGCCAGGGGAGGAGAGTGATTTCCCGTGAAGGTGCTCCTGGAGGGGAAAGTCCGACTCGTGTTCCGGGGAGTGACAGCTGGCGTGGGAGACCGAACGGCTGGACGCTTAGACCGGTGGAGGAGACGCTGGAAAGCAAGGAGAGACAAATAGGTTACTTGTGAGCTCGAGAGTTATCAGTTTTAACCACATCAAACTTAGTGAACCAACTAAGCGACCTGATGAACCACTCGAGGAGTTGGCAGTTGTCTGGCACTGGAGCCCAGGTGAACAGCAGCTTTATCCATGATGAGGACAGTGAGCTGCAGCTGTGCCAGCGTGGGAACGTTCTCCTCCAACCAGCCCCGCCCAGCCTGAAATAGCCAGCCGAAAACACAGACAGCAACGGAAATCCAGAACTACAAAGTAAAACAAGTCCATAATCACCACAGACATTCCTATTATACATAAGAACAGTAATATTTTTGTACTGAACCAACTTATCTACAGCAACTTACAGGCTGAGGATAATAAAGTGTGTTTTCATTGGCTCACTGCTGCCCTGTTTCTATTTCCCTTCAGTGATTAGATCAGCAGGAGCAGCACTGCCGCAGATATTATTACATTTTAGAATCAAAACTAAAAATGCTCTTTAATATTCCATTTCATATCCCAAAAAAACATTCAGGAGGAAACAATATTTGTTGAAAATAAAGTGTATCAACAGCTCTGGCGGTGCTGGATTCATCCTGAGTTCAGCTCAGCTCAGCTGCTTACTTGTAGAGAAGCACTGAGGTTGATAAGGCTAAGTATAATCACAGTTACACGTCAAAAGATTTAAATAATCAATGCAGTCACCTGCTGTGCCACCTGCGCACAGCCCCTCTCTCCATTTGGAGATCATATGGATCCTCCTGCTGTGTGTGAGTTGGTCGCTAAAGGGTGTGGAGCTCTGTTCTGGGGGTCTCCTGTCCAGTTTAACTCCTGGTACCTGACCGGTAGAGTAACAGCAGTAGGTGTAGGTGTCACACAGGTAGCACGGTTAGTGTCAGTATAAGCAGCAGCAGTGATGTGAGGCACACAGGTAACCAGGTGAATGAAAAACTGAAGCAAACAGCTGAACGTTTTTTATTCAGAGTTTCTAGTAAATGTTTGTGGACACTGGAGAGAGTAAAAGCCTTTATTATAAATAGGAACACAATCAATCTGTAAAGGTTCACTAGCTGAGTTTACAAGGGTCTTAATGTTCTAATAATAATCTGAATAATAGTCCTATCAGAATAAAAATGCGAACATAACCACCTCGATCATAACAGACTGATAAGTATGGAATGAACTTCCAATCAGACTTAGAAGGGTTGCGTAAACCTCTTGATAATTCCTTCAATACCAACATATCAGCGCCCAACGACCATGCAGATGCTTAGTTTGCATTAGTCTGTTTCTTTCCAGCTAGACTCAGTACATTATTTCCGTTTGTGCCACATCCTGCTCCCGATCGGTACACTCACCCCCCAGCTCCTGGTGTTTGTCAGAGGAAGGAGCACCAAGTTTACTGTTCTTGATGGGCTGTAAAGGTCCACTTACACTCTCCCAATGTTTAACGACGGAAGGAGAATTATGCGCTGCTGAGACTGCTGCTTAATTAGAAAGGACAGCAGAAAGGCAAAAAAAATGGTCCCAGGACATGATGTGTCTCGGTCAATTTGCTCTTTTAAATGAATTTAATTTTCTCAATGAATTTGGATAACAGCCTTCTCCTCCTCTTTCTGCTGTTATGTGTCTGTTAGATGACACACTTTTATCAGATCAGTAGTGTCCAGGTAAAGAATTGCAGCCAAGTTGGGAGAAATATTGACCATGTAACCACAACTACACTCAAATGGTGCAACCTGTACTTCATGCTCAGACTGGGATGACAAAAATGTTCACTAGTGTTGAGATACAGCGAGCTGATTGGCTGATCTGTGGTGTTTCCTCAATCAGAAGCCAAACACTATCAGCTATAATACCACATATTACTTGCACTATTCTTGTCGGGGGGATGTTATGTTATTGTGCGACACATGTGTTCGGTTTCACGCTTCAGCTGCCTCTAGAATAAGATGTACAACCAATTCATCAGTGTTTTTTGTTGCATGTGTTCACCTGCGCTCCTGCCAGCCTCGTGCTCCCAAAGGCTGTGTGTCGCTACCTTCCACGGCGGTGAGGCTGTGTGCATGCACTGTAGTGGGGGGAGAAGCCTGCGTTGCGTGTGCTTTGGCTAATGGCGTTGCGGGAAGATGCACAGCAACAATGGAGCCTCCAGCTCGTCTTCCTGCCCCCGCACACACGCGCTCCATTGTGGGGGTAATCTCACTCTGCCCAGATAAGTGGGTCACTATTTGTGTCGGCAGTGTGTTCATAAATGCATTATTTTGATGTTTTCGGCTCTGCGGTGATGATATGTGTAGGTAATATTTGCTGGGAACATGTGTGTGTGTGAGGCTTATTTTATTATGTGTGCGAGAGAGGGGGTCCGCTGGGGAGTTGGGTGTGGTGGAGGGGGGGTTGCTAAGGAGCAGGCTGGTGGGCGGGAGCTTTTTATCCATTAGTACTGGTGACACAATGAAAGTGACAAGGCAGAAGGACCTAATTGCACCCTTCTTGTCTTTAGCGATTTGGGGCAATTTCTCCGTCCCACCCCTCGAGTGCGTTTGAACGTCTCGCAACAGTTTGACGCTGTCGCTTTGCCGTCTTTCTAGCCACATATCTCTCTCCCTCTTGCGTTTTTTTTTTCCATTGCCCCCGGGGTTGTTGATTTTTGCCGACTTAAAAATAGAGCCTTGCCTGACACTGGGCAGGGATGGAGGGGAGGGGGGAGGTAGATAGATAGAAATGTACATAGAGTGAAGGAAAGACAGCGGCGCGTGGTTGGAGCTCAGCGTCCGGCGGTCATTCTCTCTTCACCATCCGCAAAGGTGATTGATGGCGGCGTTAGATTGCTTTACTAATTGGCGGCGGGCCTCCTCGCGTTCGCTGGCTCGCTGCTGTTTGTTTAGTGTGTGTGTGTAATGGCGGGAACTGTTAATTTGTCTCTGCAGCTATTATCACCGTGTTGACTAAGTGCCTCTCTCTGTTGTTGTTGTTGTTTTCTTTTCCCACAGGAGATCAACCATGTACTGAGAGGAGCTCTGGACCGACTGAGCGCAGACGACCGTCCCGCCAAGATGAGCCAAGTTAACTTCAGGTAAGCGTGTGTGCAGGTGCGTTTTAAGGCGTCAGCAGACGGATCGCCCTGTAGGTGGGTTATGGCACAACGATGGGGACTAGGATTAACACTCCTGTCTTTGTTTGGCCGTCTGACACTCTGACTGGATTAAACAGTCTCATGGGTGACTGTGTGTGTGACCTATTATGTGGTTGTTGATGGGGTAGCCTCTCTTATCTGTACAACGGCAGTGAGTTTAGAAGCTGAGCTGGAGGGTAATTTTCCCAACAACTGACTTGGATTTCTGTTGTATTATATAATTCATGTTTTCTGCTGTGTGACAACAAGGGAAGATAATTGATTGGCAGATTGTATACAGATGATTTATAGACACTATACCAGTTAGAGCTGTATTGCTTCTTCTGGCTATTAATTATCAATGTTGGCAGATATTTTTATTAAAAACACGCAGGTGCTGTAAACAGATTCCAACAACTGATCTGACTTACCAAAGTCACCTCTACATGACTACTCGTGATAGTGCTTATCAAATGATTAAGGGTAAAATAAACTGAAGTTAACTAACCTGGAAGAAGAAACTCACAGGAGGGAAATGGTGGATGGCACAGGACAGCAAATTGGAGAGCTAATTAATTGAATAATAATGATTATACACACACACTGACGGCACAGTTTCTGCTCTTTTTTTTTTTGCTCTTGAGTTACACAGATATAGTGACGTATGCCAGCAGAGCACCAGATGTTATCATGCAGTCAGTAGAGACTTCCTCTAGCTTCTCAGCCACTATCCCCTCATCTAATGGTGTTTGAGGAACCAAAGTTGCATTTGAAATGTGCACTGGCTCGCTGTGGCTTAAGTTAGTTTGAGTTTGAGTCCTGCCTGGGGCCTTTATTATTGGTTTGTTTTGACTTTTGTTTCCACTTGCTGTTTTTCACTTGTTGTTTACTTGCTGTTTCAGCCTGCAGTTAAACTTAAGCCCCCAAAAACTACTTGATTGCATTTAGAAAAGGAGCAGGGTTTGGGATAAATATTAATACATGCCACAAAGCTGAAGATTTTAAGTACGCTTGTTTGCACCGCCGCAAGATATTGCAGATGTTACTTTGGTTACTTCCTGTTTATCAGTGATCACAATGGATGATAATTTGCCTTCTGGCCTATTAGAAGCTGGAGGATTTCTGTACTGGCCCTCATTGCAGTTGTAACCATTTGTTGGGCTGAAAACTAAGAAAAATACAAAAATAAAACATTTGTAATGCAGTCTTTTTGTTTTTTAGATTTTAGAAATGTCTAAAAATAGTCCAATCAAAGCAAAAGTGCACATCTGTGGTTGTAGTCAAGACGAGGCACGGCAAGGGACATTAATAAGTTACACCTAAGGCTACACCTAGTGTTTTAAATTAACAATTAATATCTTGATTTTTCTTTTGATTAATCAAGCTGCCTGTGTCGAGCGCTCTGCCTGAATAAAGCATGAAGAGATTGTTGAGTCTGTTTGCCGGTATACATATGAATAATTCTGGTACCGGCTAGCAAAATAAGATATCACGTTTTGGATGCAAGCCTTCCTTGTGGTGATCCCGGCATCATTTCCATGTCATGTCGTACGCTCCTCTCCTGCAAAACAGTTTGCAAAGAATCCACTGCTGCTGTTGTAAAACATTATTTTCTTGTTATTTACTGGTTTGTGCACCAGAAGTAACAAATAGAAATCAGTTGCTCCATCAGCGCTACTGGTTGAAGCCAGATTCACTGGTCAGGAGCGTTTGAACAGTATGTGGGCGTGCACAGATGTCTCACCATGGCAACCTCCAGCTTTGTTTTTCGGGTTGACGGGATCTTCATCTTTCATTTTTCTCCGGGCTGTCAATCACACAGTAGCCATGGCAACAATTGAATCCACCATCGCATCCCCTTCACCTGTCTCGTCCAGCAAACCCCGCGACAAGAGTATGGACCATTCTGGCTCCGACTGATTTTTTCCCCCGATTAGAAAATTGTTCTTTTCAAAATAACTCCGGAGAGAATCGCGGGCGCTCCAAAGAAGGACTTGGCTGGAGTGACAGATGGTGATTCTTCAGCATTTTACAGTACAGTGGTGTCTTGACAGCGCTGTGATACAATGGAGGCACGGCTCTCACAGATAGTTTGCCATGGTAACAGATGGTTGGCAGTTGAAGAAACCACGGTGAGCGAGCGAGGGCACATTTTCAGGAGTCCCGGCCGCGAGTTTGTTACGCACTCGGCCTCCGTTGATGTAGAGGAAGTCAACCAAGAGTGGGAGCTCCATCTGTCTCACTCCTCGTTGCTCTTTTCATCCATCCCCACTGTCCCTCGCCTTCCCATCTCTCTCTCTCCCCCCCCAGTGGAACGACTGTGTTTGTTTGTGTTTGTGTCAGTGGGATGCTAAAATGGGTGAGCGGAGCTACTCTGCATATTAGCGTGCAGCGCTAACAAGATACGGTTGCCTCTGATGAGCTTGTTTGTGCCGCCGTTTGTTTTTTATATGAATGTAAATGGGCTGAAGCTGTATGTGTGTGTGTGTGTGTGTGTGTCTATGTGTGAGTGTGTATTTGTTTGTGCCACACACTTTGTGAATATACATCATTCAGGACCGGCTTGTACCTGTGTGTATCCTACCCTGGCCTGATTGTTTAGCATCACTGCAAGTAAACTCTGCGAGTGTGTGTGTGTGTGTGTGTGTGCAGTTCATGCACTGTGCACATGTGTAATTTAGATGTAACTGTGTTCTCTAATAGATGTAAATGTGATGCATGTGTGTATCTGTGAATTTTCAATTTGGAGGAATGTGACTGATGGTGTTTGTGAGCATGCAATAGATGTAGCAATAAGAATGCAAATTGGATGTGTGTGTATATGTGTGTGTGTATAGTACGTGTGCGACCCTGGCAGAGGTTAACGAGAGCAGGGTGACAGTGACAGAGGAGTGTGTTATAATGATCCCAGCTAGTCCTTGGGCTTGTGTACGTGTATGAAGCACATAAACCTTGAACTTCAGTGCTTTTGTTCTCTGACTTGTTTTCTTTTTATAAACTCACACAGACAACTCATCACTCTGTGCTTTTTTTTTTTTTTTTTCCATTTTAGCTTTGTGAAAGCTTTGCGGGAAACCTAAGGAGGAAAAAATAGCTTCATGTTCCTGGCCTCTGCCTGCGCTTTTTTGGACGTTTTATATTATCTTCTTGAACACACTTGAAATTGATGAAAGACAGAGGAGGATGAGAGAGAATAGACGAGATCTGAAAATGCAAAAAATAAGGAGGATTCTCTTTTTGCAACTTTGTCAAACAGTGTCACCACCTGTATGGACAACTGTAACTCCCAACAGCCTTTGCATCTTCTACCACACCTTTGTATCATCAAGCTTTAGACCTCCTTAACTTTACAACCTCCATCCGCTACACCGACTCCTTGCTGCAGCTCACATCTGTTTCACACTCTGACACAAGGCTGCAGTGCAGTGGAAGCAACCGCTCCCTCCTGTCTGTCTCCAAAGTGACAATCAAACCCTCCCCACTTCTCCCTGTACATGATTTTCACCTTGTCATTCAGAAGACCCGGGGGTTGCTCATCATGTTCAAGGCTGCCCTGGATGCACAGCGGTGGAATAATCCTCAGTGAGAAAAAAAAAAAAAGCAGGAGTCACTGGCCGTCTTTTGCTGCAGGCTAAAAACTCACCCTATGATTGATGCTTTCACTTACTAGTGTCTGATTTTCTAGAAAAAAAAGCACCCATACTTTGGATTCATTTAGCAACTGAGAGCCCTTTTAGTTGCAACGTGATACTGGGTGTATAAATAAAGTTAGACGAGGGTTTAAAAATTATGTAGATGTTTTTCCTTGCAAGAGTTGAGGCATTTTCTTTTTGTTTTCACGAGAGCAAAGCAAATTTTGGCCAACTCAAATCATACCTGCTCTTCAACCAATCGATCGGTTGCAGGAAAAACATGTAATCACTCAGCCACAGTGCACTGAGGGAACACCACCTGCCAGACGAACCTGAAAAGCTCATATTTACAGCTTGTTAAATCACTTTAACCTGGTTATTTTACACTCAAAGGCAGACTCGGAGCAGACCAGTGCACACCTGCCCACATTCGTATGATTTCTAACAACCGAACCATCTCAGAATCTTACATGCTCTTGCAGGTTTCTGCCGTCTTGCAGACTCTGTTTCATTATTTCGACATCATCTTACCACACGTACATTTCATTTCTATTAAGAAGGTGTTACACTGAAGTTTTTTAAGTCATCATTTTAGCTGTTCTGTCCTTATTGTTTTCAAAAAATGTAATTTAACCAAACAAGGCTGTGTAGCTGTACACACATGTAAATTAGATTTGGTTGGCAAAACTTATGCAGCACATTTGATGACAAAAATCTGCCCAAAAAATTGCAAATATGAAAAGCACGCAGACCTGGAGCTGAACACATAGCTTACATTTAATCTACACGCGCAGCTTAATATTTTATTGTTGACAAAAATGCTCCATAATTATATTTGTACCATCAAGCCTCCAGTCGGTGATAGAGGTCTCCTGTGATCTTCTACCACGCCGGTGCCCTCCCCCTACTCTCCAACCAATATCAAAAGCATCCCTTTTCCTGTTTATCTTTAGTAGTATTGTCCTTGTTTATCTGCTGCTAAAAGCCACAGTTCAGGGCTCTGCAGAGATTATTAGAGAAGCTCATTCTGTTTCATCTCTATCTGCTCCTCTATCTGTCTCCCCCTTTTATCTCCTGCGCTCTTCTTTTGTCCACCGGCTAGATTGGGTAGTTGAGAAGCAGGTAGATAAGGGGTGAAGTAGCCACCTGCGTCCCAGTCGCACACACACACACACACACACACACACATGGACATCATTCTGATGTTTGGCAGGACTACCTGTAAGCTAATTTGTATCCCTGTCTGTGTAGCCGGGAGGAAAATGCAAATGGATTTTGAAGAGCTTGCACATAGAAAATGTTGTTGCAGTTTTTTAGGATTGTCCGCTTCACATTGTGTACATCCTGATTTATTGTGTATTTTGTTCCCAGTACTCTGACGAGGACAGTTGAGGTCTCAGGCGATCAGGGGCCCCTGGGGATCCACGTGGTCCCCTACTGCTCCTCTCTCAGCGGACGGTAAGCAAACGCACACAGCTACACTCTTGTCCGCTCAATACATCCGCTTGTAATCAATGAGGCTTTCATAAGGAAAGGCAGATGGCAATGTTGACTCCTGAAATTCAGAAAAAGTTGAAGCGCTGGCATGCGATCGTGTACGTGTTTATCTCCGTGCATACATATTTACTCTGTGCTGTCTGTGTCGCAAGAACCCTGGGCCTCCACATTAAAGGCATCGAGGAAAACAGTCGCTCCAGGAAGGAGAATATCTTCAAGGAGGACGAGTGCATTGTTCAAATCAACGACACGCCACTGCAGGACAAGACCTTTGCACAGTAAGCAGGCCGGGCTGTGGATGAGGTGGATGGGGTGTGTTTGAGAGTGAAAATAAAGAACTAATTAATATGAAACAAGTGAGGTTAAATATACAGTTGTCCTCAGATTTACCCTTTCGTAAAAGAAAAGGCAAAATTCACAATAGTCACTCAAATAATGAGAGACTGAAAAAAGCAGTAATAAATAAAAATTTGCTAAATTATTATTTAGTGATATAAAACATTGCTTTTAAATTGTGGTTGAAAAATATAATTAAAAAAAAAACAACAAACAAATCTCCCCCGGACAAATGATAGCACTTTGCTGATGAGCAGTGAAATCAAAATCCCTGTCAACAGGTGCAGAAGTCTGATTGAGAGCTACAGAAAACACTTGATTGCAGTGATTGGCTCAAAGGGTTGTTCAACAAAATATTAGTTTACAGGTCCCATCAGGCTTGTTTGCTTGTTTTTTTAAATAATATTTCTGTTGAACCACAATTCAAAAGCAATGTCATGATTTTCATTACTATTGCTTTTGTCAATTGGTTGAGTGTAGATAACAATATGTCATCTGCATATAAAGGCAACGTATGTTTGTGTCTGTGTCTCACTGTACTTTTGTTCGGGGGTGCTTGAGCAAAGTGCCATTGCAAAGGGTTCTGTGGTGAGAGCAAACAACAAGGGACTTAAAGGGGAGCTCTGGCGTGTCCACAGTTGCAGGTTGAATCCTGATTGGGTGTTACTGGTATGGACAAAGGCTCGAGGAGATGAGTACAGAAGTGTTATCCAAGTAACAAATTCTGAGCCAAAGCCAACATTTTTTAGGATGGAAAAAAGATATTTCAAGTCCACCTGATCAAACTTGAATCCTGTAGTTTATCTCATGGTTTTTAGTTTTCAACAAATCGTCTTTTTTCATAATGAGAAAGGTGAAAAGAGATGAAAGATTTGAATAGTATTTGGATCAGGTTATCATTACACAACCCTGCACAGGTCTTTCTGTGAGGGATGTGATTAGAAACTCCATCAAAAAAAAAAAAACCTTAAAAGCTGAAAAATAAGCTTGTCTTGTGTGTGCGCGCTTGTGTGCACACACTCCCACTCACCCGTCACCGCTGTAGCACTGTAGAGATATCCCACCTGTCACTCAGTTTGCTTCCACTATCAGCCAGACAATTCCCTCACATTCTCTGCCCTGTCGTATCTCACCACCACATCTACTCTCACAAGAGCGTATTGTCTCGCTTTCTTTCTAATTTCTTCCTCCTTTCAATGCTCACACTACAAACTCCTGTCCCTGTTTTTTTTTTTTCTCTCTCGGTTTCCTTCGCCCTCTCTCTCTCTCTCTCTCTGAGGTGGAGCTGAATAGGTCCATTTAACAGCATCCCACTGTGCTGTCTGTTTTGTGTGAATGTTGTGCTGATAGTAGTCTATTAAAACTGCAATAGGAGCCTGCTGTAAGGTCTCTCCATCTGATAGGGACCGCAGTGTCCCAAACCAGCTGGAAGAGTCACTCTGTTCTTGATCCAAACTGAAATACAGCTCCATTAGCCATGCACAAGCCTCATTCACCCTCCTCATTCTTTTGCTTTCCAATTGTTTGCTCTCGTTTAGTGCTCCCCTTGAATTTCGTAGTCTTTTTTTGCTGGTGTACGGTTTTGTAGTGTTCCACAAAGCAGATCATTCTGAGCTCTCCCAGACGCCTTCCTTTGTCACATATATGAATGGCAGACATATTGCCGCTTTCTATAATTCCTCTTTCTTTCCTTAGGTCACAGGAGGTGTTCCGCCAGGCCATGTCCTCCTCTGTAGTGCGTCTGGAGGTCCTACCAGGCGCCAACAGGCCACGCTACGAGAAGAGCCTGATCGGCCAGCTCTTCACCGGCGACGGCAAAGACACCACCGCAAAGGCGAAGAGCCCCATGCTGGTCCGCCCTAAAGCCGACTCCCACCCAGAGCCCAAACCAGATCCCAAACTCAACACCAAATCAGAAGTAAGGCGACCAGACACTCGTGCCAAGACCCCAGAGCCAGCTTTTCGAAGCGCATCACCAGCGGAGCTCCAGCCTGGTCGCGGCACATTGGAAAGAGTTAGTCCCACGCTTCCATCCAGGCCAGTGAGCTCTTCCCCGACGCCCAGGACCGACAACCAGAGCCCTACCACTAAGAACCCTGTTCTACCCGGCCTGGCTAACCTTACCAACAAGAAGGGTGGCAAGAAGATACAAATCGACCTGAAGAAAGGTAAATATGCAGCAAATTTACTTTTACATTAACCTATGATATTAGGTATGTTATTAGATTACAGGGGAAATTAGGGACATTAGTATCAATATGCCAATTAACACAAAGCTGGAGTGGCCACATGAGAAGACTGGTTGAGTTGCATTCATAAAAGTGTAGCATCCAGAGTTTTTGTGGCTTAACCTTTACAGTATTAAGGAATAAATGTCATGATATCTCCGGATCTCCTGCATTGATTTGGTCTATTCTTGTATTTCTCTTTTGCTAAATTGTCTTTAAATTAAGAGTGAAGGTTGTCTGTAAACGAATTCTCCTGACATTCATAAAAGCCCTGAAAACCCACGTCTGACCTTAAAAATTACATATGTAGAAGTTTTTTTTCCAGGAAAATAATCCTTAAATCCTGGGATAGTAGGAATTATTTCATCATTAAGCAAAAAAAATTCCATAATAGCCTTTCAGCATATTGTAATTAATGTGGACTTCTGCACCTCCTACGTGTTCAGGCTTTACAAAATCTAGCCTGTGACGACAGGCTCTGGCCAGTCACAGGTTAATTCCTATTGGCTATTTTACAAATGCAGATGATTAAAACACAAGTTAAAAAGAAAAAAACCTGGACAAGGTTGCTTCAGGACAGATGTGAAAGTTAGAAATTGTTTTGTCATTTCTGTCTTCATTCATGCTTTTCTCAAACACCTTTATGCTCCAGGTTTGTTTTTCTTATGTAATACCTGATAAAGCAGGCTGCTGACTTGAGCCCTGGATGTTGTTCTCCCCATCAGCGCAATCGATTGACTTATCAACTTGAGGCTTTTCATTCAGACTCTCACAAAAAAGAACACTGTGGATATAAGGATAGCTTTAATCCATATTGAAGGAAACTTTTCATTTTTTTGCTTGATCTCTGCATAACTACACAAAAGGTCTGGTTCCGCTTTTATATTTCAACCCAGTCTGGCATCCCAGCCACCTTATCTCTTATCCCTCAGTGCTGGAGAGCTCATGTGTTGATAGCATGGGAATAGGTTCTTATGACTGTGAACACGCTCAGTTCTAGCAATCTGCAGTGTTATAGGGGATTGAATGGATAGCTGTAATTGGGCTACACACACACACACACACACACACACTCTCTCGTGACAGGTATCCAGAAAAAAGGCAGGACACCCAGATGAAAGGATAGAAGAAATTGGGCTCCACACTCTCCAGCTTCACCTCAAAGCCCCATTCACCACTGTTTTATTGTTAGTTTCTTTCTTTTTCAGCACCTTTTCTATGTCTCCCATTTTCCTCTCCTCTTTCCTCCATCCTCCTTTTGTTTGATTTTTTTCTCCCCCCCCACCCCTCCGTCTCCCTCTCTGCCTTTCAGCTGATGCAAGATCAGAGCAGAGGATATTACGGGGTTTCTAACACCCTCTCCCTCGGCAACAGGCTCTTTCTCTCGGTGATTGACAGGCGGTGAGGTTTAGGTGCGCTAATGTAGGGCAGGCAGAGGCTTAGCTCAGAGACCAGATAGCATCGTTCACCGCCTTTAGTATGCTACGGCGGCTTTGCTCTCTCTGCTCACACACACACAGTCACACACAGAGCGTGGCACATTTCACTCATGGCTTGGGGCTTGTGAGGCCGTGAAAAAGGGAGAGGGTGGAGGCTCTGGGGGTTGATGCTTCGTGCATGGGTGTGTGGCCTCAGAAAAACACGCACCCACACACACACACAACTTGTAAATGAGTACACACAGAAAGTAAACGTGGGCTCACGAGCACAAGGAAAATCTTTGTGGAAATCACATCACATCCCCTGGGAGGGAAGCTACAGAAGGGAATAATATCTCTCAGGTTCTTCTTCTCACTCTCTCTCTCTCCTCTGCCTCCACCTTCATTCCATCTTCTCCCTCTACCTCCCACCATCAGCCACCGTTCGGCCTGCTCACACGTGAAATTAAAGGCAGAGTCTGTCTAATCCGGCTAGGGGAGAAGGCTGCTCCCGGCGGCTCAGAGGCTGAGCCAGGCAACTAACCCCCAGAGGAAAACAGGCACTTAAAGAGTAGTTAATGTGGAGGACGATGCTAAAACTGCAGATGGGGTTAAGAAGGACAAGAGAGGATATAGAGACGGGAGACGGTCCGTGGTGAGCGGAGAAGGAGAAAGAAAGGAGAAAGTGACAGAACAGGGAGATGAGAGCGAAAATTCAATTAAAACGAAATTAAAAAGTCATAAAATTCATAATTAAGTCTCGTTTTCAGGGGCATAGATGTCCCCAATGCACACCGTGACGCAGGCTGCTTTGTTCCTGCAGGCACAGAGGGTCTGGGCTTCACTGTGGTAACCAGGGACTCCACTGTCCATGGACCAGGGCCAATCTTAGTGAAGAATATCCTGCCGCGCGGCGCAGCCATCAAGGACGGCCGCCTGCTGCCCGGAGACCGCATCCTGGAGGTAAGACACATCTCAGCCAGGTGATCGCCCGCTGAGGAGAAAACAAACAGGAACAGCTGTGGGCAGAGCAGGGAAATCACCATCATTAGGAGCTGGCGGTCGGGCTCTGTGGCCCCCCTGCTGGTTAGACAGAGTCACTGCACTTTCACAGGGAATGGTCCACATACAGCTACGCTACAGGACAACTTATAGGAGAAAGAAACAGCCTGATAATTCTACATTTTACAGGATCGCACAGAGGGTAGTCAGCCATTTTTAATCCTCTGAAACAGCATTTTGTGGGCATTTTTTGCTCCTGTCACATATTCCCCATATGGGCTCATTTCCACTGTAATATAAAATCCTGCACCTCTATGGACACAGCAGCTGTTTTATAGCATAAGTAGAGAGAAATCCAAAATGTAATGGCTTCAGTTCTAAAAAGAAAAAGCAAACGTTGAGTTTCTTTGGTTATTCATAAATGTTTGATGACTTACATTTGTTTTCATCCTTGTCTCCTCTCTGTTTAGCGTTAACACAGCCTGCAGTTCAGTCAAAAAAGTTCCTGAATTTACAATGGTTTGAGTTGTTTTGGCAACTTAGAAAAAAACAACATGCCTATCAGAACGGCCGCAGGGTTTTGGGATTCAAAAGATTAAGATCTGCAGCGATAACTGCCAAAACTGAAACCAAAACGTTGTGTGATTTTAGACAGATGAGGTACAAAGAAAACATGAAGATGACACTAACCATCTCATTGAATCTGATTTTAATCCCTTTGCTCACCTACATATGTAAATGTTTCACACTTTTGTATTTGTCTCTTGCCTCAAGTGGTATCTAACCACGCAGATAATTTGTCCTGGTGTCTCCCCTAACACAATACAGACAAATGTAATTTCTGGTACACGAGTTTATAATTGTGCATAAAAACAATATGCACTACCTGGATAAACATATTTATAAGCGCTAGTAGTTTTCAGTGGAGCTACTGTCTCCTAGAGAAATGGTTTAAATTTGTGACTAATGCACAAGTTTCAAAGAAGAACATCTCAAAAGAGTGACAAATAAAACCAAACTATCATTACAAAAACATGACAAAGTGTATTTTTTATATATGCTTTGGGCGGCCTGACCCACACAGAAGCATCTACATCTGATCCTCCAATCGTGTCACTGGATGCGTGTTGGCGGCGCGTTGCCAGTGGATAATACACTCGGCTTTAATCTGCTCCTGTTGATTTTTTTGTGTGCGTGCAGGTGAATGGAGTCGACATGACAGGCCGTAGCCAGGAGGAACTCGTGGCCATGCTGCGCAGCACCAAGCAGGGAGAGAATGTGTGTGTGGTGGTGGCGCGGCAGGAGGACATCTTCCTGCCTCGGGAGCTGGTAAGAGAGTGTGAATACACAAAAACACAGCGGCCGTGTCCTCACACTGTCTGTTGTACGTTTACACAAAGTCCATTCATTCTCCTCTCTCATTGCTGCTGCTTTTGTTGATCATTTGTTCCCCACTGATGTTCACTTCTGCCCCCATTTTCTGTCTCCTGTTCATCCCTGTCTGTCTTTTTAAAACATTTCCTCCACATTGTGTCATTTTCCTTTTTTTTTCCTCTGAAAGGGGCAAACCTCTTTATGTCGATGCCCTTTCGCGGCACACACAAACACACCCAGAGCTTCCTGTCCCCCTCTGGTTTGTTGACACAGCGATGCCAGAGGAAGTCACACACACAAGCCACCGCCGCCCCGCAGGAAGCGTGCGAGCGTGTCCGCGCTTGTCGACACGCCGCGGGTGTTAAGTGACCGTTTACCTGTGGCGGCGGCCGGGGTCAGGAGTCAGCGTCTGGGCTGTGAAGCCGACACGGTTTGACTGCGCCTCACAGGGGACGTTTTATCAATAAACACATACTTTTAAACATACATACACGGCAGCCAGGTGGCCCCTTGAAAGTCACTCGCTCTCTGTAAATGATGTTTTCGCCCGTGCTCTTCTGTTCTCTCCCTTCTGTCCTTTGTGGTTATTCTGATTATTCCCGTTCCATTACTTCAAAGCGCTGTGAGAAAGACACGCGGGGCTTTGTAGTGACTGATGCATATTCACACCTAGAGTGGCTGCGCGCACACACACATGTTCACACAAACTCCTAAACACCTAGTCCTTGATAAAAACTTGAACACAAGTGCTCCCTCACACACACACACACACACACACACGTGCACAGACGAACACACAACGCATCTTTAAACAGCTAAGTTACTGCTTCCGAAAATAGTTTGCCCTCATTAATGGCCCAGCAGTCTTGGCATAACAAGTGCACTTTGAAGAGCCTCTACAGTCTTCATCTAACACTTGCTTGTATTTGTGCATTAGAGAGAGACTTAAAGAGTTGGGGGGAGGTTGGAGGGGGAGAGGCGGTGGAGGGGGGAGAGTGCGAGAGAGCCTTCACTCCTGTCTCTATCGAGGCTGTTGAAGTTGTTGGTGCCCCGTGAGATCTGGCCCTTATCTCCAGCACAGTCCTCCACCTCAAAGACGTTTTGATGTCCCTTAAGCGCACACACACACACACACACACTCACACGTACTCACAAACACACCACACACAAGGCACTCTGGAGTTTCTGCGTTATTGAACGTAGATGTGGCAGACCCACAAAAAGCAAAGGATTACATAAATACAGAAATGCAGAAACAACCACAGAGAAAAAAAAAAGTTCATCATTAAAAAGTGGCCAAATGAGCAAACACAGGAAAGCCAACAGATGCAGGCAGGCGACCGCTGGGTCAATACATAGAATAATATTTCACACCTGACCTCCTCAGAATCATCCATTTTTATGCACAATAACATTTTTAATGAATTCATGCAAGATTTCACCTTCACATTGTAAATGTTTTCAAAGTTATAAGCTCTTAGAGGTAGAAAGAGAGTCTGCACTTTTTTATTCTTGTTTCTTTTTCTAGCATTTTTAAACCCTCCTGTGTGACATTTTCAGGGCCTAAAAACGCATTTGAGCTCCTTTAAAAACTGCAGCCAAATCAATTTTCATCATTCATTCCAAGTGTTAGAATCTAAAGTCTAAAGCATGTTATTGTTCAGCAGGTTTGAGCATCAATGTCATGGATGTGTCACAGTTTTAGTTGCAAAACAGTTAAATGTTTATGACAGAAAGTAATAGAAATAAGCATTAGTAGCCTGGGTGTGTTTTCTGATAATCAACAAGAGAAAAAGTGCATTTTGAGTAAACTTAAAGAGTCATATCACCATGTGGTCGCTCAAAACAAGTTCTAGCAAATGAAAGGCATATTTTAACCCTCTTTAAACTATTAGGGTAGAACTTAAAACAATCTCAAACAAGCACTGAGTGCCTCAGACTTGTTTGGTTAATGGGATTTGTCGAAACAGTCATCTTGAACATGCAAACACTGATGTTGTTTCTCCATTTCACAGCCTAAACAAGATTTTGGCTTCACACTGTTGTACCTGTAATGGATGTAAAATAGATTTGGTTGCAGGTTTTAAAGGCGTCCTGTACATGTGAAGTTATGAGGCCTAAAAAATGCTTGAAAACATCATCCATCCGTCTATCCATCCATCCATCTATCCATCCATCCATCCATCCATCCATCCATCTATCTATCTATCTATCTATCTATCCATCTATCCATCCATCCATCCATCCATCCATCCATCCATCTCAGACAACCAAGCACACTCACATTCACACCTACAAACAATTTAGAATCACCAATTAACCTCAACATGTTTTTGGACCTTGTGGGAGGAAGCCAGAGAACCCACGCTGCACGAGGAGAACATGCAAACTCCACAAAGAAAGATTCCGGGTGTCCTCACTGGGACACGAACCGGCGACCTTTAAAAATATCAAAAGTACAACATTTCCTACCTCCCCCATGTACTTTGAGGGCCTGTAGCTTGGAAGATATACATGTCAGCTGATAATGAAGGAGTCAGACAGAAGGTCCTGATTGATTTTTCATGGAGTGACCCTGCCTCCAAGCTACATTAAACACTACTCATACCTTTCCAAAACCTACAAGTTACCACAAAATACAAACCAACAAAGAGCGTTTTCCTCCCTTTTGTGTCTTCACTTCTTTTCTTCCCTTCCAGGTTCTAATTGCTCGACTCTTTCTCCTGCTAGTAGCAAATTATTGTGGGTATTCATGGAGTACTAGCGAGGAGTGGCTCACTACAATTTGCTTCCATAAAGGATGTAATGATGATGCAGGCGCATTAAGTTGTCAGCCATCTGCCTCATCGTGCGAACATGTTTGTGTGTAGGTGTCTGTCAACATGTCTTTGTGCATGTCTGACTCGCAATTATTTATTAATGTTTTCGAGGCTGTAACATCTTGTAGGAACTGCCTTTATGTATCTCACATCTAATATTCCAGTCGTTCATTATTGCAGTTTTGCGTTCAGTCGCTGCCGAGATTAATTGGCCGAATCACAGTTAAGTTTTCCTCGACCAGCCTCACTGTTGCTGCCACAGATAATTAATGTACAATATCAGCTTATTGCATCTATCAAGGTCTAATTTGCCCTTCTGTGGGAACACGTTGTTCATCTATGTATCCGTCTATCCACCTGCTCTGCTGTTCACCTACAGAAGGCGTGTTAACATGCACTTTCTCGATACTGTCCAGAACAGAAAACAAGTGAAGGGATTATTAGGCTGCCGCTTCACACGGCTCTGTTTCGGCTCTATGTACTTGGATTCTTGCTCAGGTTTTCACATACATCAGACATCACAGCAGCACAATGAGATTAAAGAGGAGATTAGCACTGACAGCGGCTTGTGCTTGTATCCATAATAATTAAATCCAAAGTTTGACATTAAAATACAAAATTCTAGTTCAGCTAAACGGTGCACGACTTGTAAAATTCAGATACATTTGCACTGCAAGGAAAGGGCATGTTCCCTTCTGATGCTGTTCTCCAAAACAAAAAGAAACTGCAGATGAGATCACAGTTACATTTAAAAAACAGTGTTTTTCTTACAGTAACCTAGTTTAATGTGAGACTGAAAAGTTAGCGTCATCAAGTTGGAGCAGACTTGTGCCTTTAAGACCATCTTGTGTTGGTTCTTTGTGGTAGTTTTACACTGCACTGACCTTTAGCATTTCATTTATTTCACTCTCATTAGAATTAGAAGACATTTTGGGTAAAATTTGAGGAGGTTATGTTCATTGAAGTCAAAAGGAAGAAACTGTCCCTAAAGTGCTCATTTATAGTACGACAGTAAACACAATACTCTTTTTCTATTGGTTCATTTTGAATGGTTTCGACATGTTTAACCTATGAAATTCTTCTTGCCCATTTCAGAGAGTCCATGTGTTGACAAAGGCGCCTCTCCAGACTGAAACCGAATTCCTCTTAAGGGCCTGAGTCGCTATTTTTGATGCAGCACACACACATATCGCATGACTGAGAGCAGTAGTCAGCTAAAACCTGTAAAAACTGAGGCGTTTGGTTTCTCAAAAAATAAAAAAAATCTGAAGTCATTTATTAGAAAAGGATGATTAACATATAAATTAATGATAACCTATGAGCTTACAATTGAGTTTGTTTTCACAGCTTTTGCATAGCTCATTATGTAAATAGGTGTGTATTTTGTTGTACATTGGGTGTATTTACAGAGGGGCCGTGCAGGTACATAATAAGCACAGTTTAGCCACTCACAGCTGTGCTTCTCGCTGCTCTTTACGCCTGTTAGCGCCGCAGTTAATTCTAAAAGTGCACGACCAGTTGATCATTTAGACACACAAATGCTTAAAAGTCTCTTTTTTTTGTAATGAAAAAGTTTTCTAATTAGCACTTAACATAATTTAGAGTTGGGCTAGATGGATGGAACATCATTAGTCTTCCAGGCATTAGTCATAAAGCAGAGCAGAGAACAAATTAAAATTAGGATTTGATGGTGGTGCTACATGAAAAGTAATGTGATTACCAAAATTGTGCCAGTTTCACTTGTGGGGGACTCGCTAGTGTCGCCAAATCAGGGGAAGACTAAACTCGTATTTCACATTCATCCTCCCACTAACCGAAATGTTCTTACAAAATTGCAATTCATTAAATATTTATTGGAATGTTTTAATCCGACTTTATTATTATTATGAAGTGTGGCTTGTCGGTGTTGGTGGAGAGAGTCTGCGATCAATGAGGCCACACTTGCAGCACTAAACTTGATAATATCCAGTAATGTCCTCCTTGACTGGCACACAGAGAGGTGAGAGGTCAGCTCAGCTGTAGAGCGGCAGCTCTAAAGCCGGTCAGGGTTTAGTGTTTTGCCAAAGGACACTTCAGCAGAGCAGCGTTTTCTGACACAGCAGCTTGAACCCAGGTCATCCGACTAAAAGACCAGTT